TTTTTCCAATATGAAATTTGGGAAACTGTGTGGGAATCATGGTTTAGAACCATATTGCTTTGGATACCCTAAACCAAAAATTTAGCAGAACACTGTCAGATTTTCTTTACATATCACAGTCTTAGAGAATTCCATTAGCATTTACCAGGTGGCAGAGCATAATGAAACCAGAGCATAAGCTTTAAGGGAAGAAAATAAAATACCAAATGAAGCAAAGCCGAAAAATCTAAGATTCATAAGAATATTTGGAGACAGAAGAGTCCCAATGTCTTGCAAGAAGTGGTATTGAAGATGAGAGAGCAAAAAGAAATCTGTGCACTGTTGGACTGAGGTGATTTCTTACTAGTAACTGTTCAGTTAGAGGCTGGAGGCTTTCTTACCCAAAGCCTGGGTTATAATTTTGTAACCAGGATTCCTGGCCACATGTAGATGTGATACCTATATTTACAGCAAGGGATTTCAGACAAACCAGAAATGCTGTGGCTGGCTGGTTAATTTCAGTAGCAAAAATACATAAACATTATGAAGAGGTGGTGTTTATAATTATATCCAAACCAGGGGTAAACATAAGGGGTGGCATTCAGCTGATTTGCACAGTAAACCTCTCCATAGGAGCTCATCACCAGTCTGTCCTTACAGTTAAAGAGAAGAAATATCCTCTCCAGGTGCTCCTGACCAGCTTGAGCTATTTGGTTTAAATCAACCTGAGCTGTACACTAGAAGCACACATTCCTCTTTATTAACTAAACCTCACTGAGGCTTAACATTTTGTCCCACAGCATAAAAATTTGTCAAAATGATACCCAATGCAAATGTAGTTTGCCCTGCCTATGGCAGATCCAGTGCTCAAAACAATTTCATAGGAAAGCTGTTTTGGAATAGATTAGAAGCAAATACCTACAGGATCTGCTTCTACAGTTTTGAAGTAAGGGATGGTGAACAGAAATGTGATGAGCAGATGTATATATAAAACACATAAATGTTCTCAGCTATATCTGTGTTCTATTGGCTTCAAATGAAAACAGATATAGATGAAAAACTCAAAGAATGGGGAATAGCAAAATAAGTAAAAATTTACCAAACAAAACAGTCTGTGATGTTCATAGAAGAAACATTAGATTCATCATCATGCATAGTCGTAAATTACTTCTTCTTTTCTGGGAAAGAATTTTTTTTTTGAATACTCTTTTTAACACAACAAAATAGTGCAGTTAGAAAATATGAGTATTAAATATGTAATTTCTAAAACTAAGAAAATATATTGACCTGAATAATATGTGATTTGTGACAGTAACAAGCAAGCACTGCCATTTGGTGGTCTGGAAATTATGCATACAACAAACTAATCAAATTTTTAAGGCATAATGCTGCAAATAGGAACCATGTAATATGCTGTGAAAAATTATGTAAAATAATGGCAATGATGGTTCTAAAAGCTGAAGAACACATTCAGATCCTCATTTGGCATAGGTGATATACATTCTTGAAGTCTGGACTGCCACCTGCTGAAACACAGTTTCATAGGAAGCTTTGACTTAATAGGACTGAGTTTTCATTTTAAACCTTGATTTTCACCCTGTTTCTTTCTTCCAACCCTTAGTGCTCTGTGTCCCTTGAATCATTATAACTGTGAGTAAATTTCAGATTTTCTCCCCTTCTGTGCCTTGATTCCCCAGTCAGTGGCAGTCTTCTTCCTGCTCATCCTCTGTGATTTCAGCAGTTTCTTACCCTGTGATTTTCCTGTTACAATTTTAGAGCCAGACTCAACCCCTCAGCCCACACTGCTGCCTCTACAAAATGAAATTAGGCAGTGCAGACTCAGGCACTGCCCTGTTGCCAATTCTCTTTATGTTTGCATGGCCACCACATGGGCATAGGTGTGCCCAAAACAGGGGCAGTAGCAGCGAGGGGAAGAGGAGCCTTCTTATCTTTGCTGAGCAAGGGGGACTGATGTAAGAAGGGTGGAATCTGAGTGACATCTTCCACAGAAAGAGGACACAGGAAGACTTGCAGGCTTCAAAACCATCAGGATCCAGACCAGAGGAGGCTGAACTGCACAGCATCAGTGCAGATTAAAGTTGATGGCATGCTCTGAGCTGCAGTGATAATTATTGCAGAGGCTGAGGAGGACTGCTGAGATGTGAGCTGATTAACTTGTGGGTGTTTGCAGTTGGTGTTTACCCTTCAGCTGTGGTGCAGCAGGAGGAAAGCAGACACTTCCAAGATGGGTTATGGGCACTAACATGGGCTTTTCATCCCCTCATAGCCCGAGTCCTGCAGGAAGGAGCCTGGGGTGAGGCTCTGAGGGCTCCGTGGGTTTGGGGCCTGCAGCTCCCCCTCAGCAATGGCACCTCTGAGGGGCTTCCTGCCCTTCCTGCAATGGGGGGGGTTCAGGCCACCATCTCTTCTCAGATTTGCCCTCAAGATTACTCACAACGACTTGTGATCTTCAGTATGACCCTCTCACCCTACTTTTAGAGGGTGTTTTGTCCTGCATGGCCTCTTGTCCTCACGGGTGGGCTCTCACGTGGAGCTGGGGCTTGCAGCGTGCTTGGTACCACACAAGGAACTGAACAAGGAGCACAGCTAACAGCATTGAGCAGCTGTCCCTTGGTGTCAACATCTGGGATTTTTATTGTCCAAACTCTTTCATCACTGTAAGACCCCTTTGCTTGTATCAAATACGTGGCTGTGACCACCTGCACATCTTCCAACTGCTTTGAGCCTGTTCCAAAAGGAGGGAGCTGCAACCCCTCACTCTGTGGAGCACTGGTACCCTCTAGTGGTAAAACCGCAGGCATTTTTAGGGAAAAAAGATGATTTCACTACTAATTTATCTTCTGTCTTCCTTTTGGACAAAAATCTGTACATCATCTTTAAATGACAGCGGTGTTTTTTTAAATGACATCGTATTTTCATGCCTTTAGTTTAAGTACCTATGATGTAATTTGATGATGTAATTTCCTTGGACTGCTTTCAGTGTGTTTCAACTTTCATTAAATCATTAAAATGATACTTGTGAGCTGATGGGTGGCTGAATTTTCACATGGTATAAAGAAGTGGCTGTAGTGGAAAGTACCAAGCAGCAGCTGCTCAAGGCTTTTAATGGGGTGTGGGTGATGGTACCACTCCAAGGCTGAAGTGTGGCAGAGCATAGGTGGCTTATAGTTAATCAAAGAGATCACCTTGCCTTTTTTAGTTTTCACCTGTTTGCTCTTGGAGGTTCTGGACAGCTGGACCATGGGTCTTGGGAAGCCAGGGAGCCACTGGCTTTATAACTGCATGGAGGGGACAAGAAGATAAGGTGTGACAAAGCTCAAGGGCATGGCAGGAGCACCACAAAATTGCTAAGTGAACTGCCAAATGTCTTGAGAAGCAGTAGTGTGGTTATAGGTAGATGCAAAAGACATATTTTGATCTGTTTCCTACCAACTACATAACCCATGCTCTAGAGCAGGGCTGGGGAGTGGGAAAAGGTGAAACTCGCTAAAAAAATCCAAAATTATTTAGCATGAGCAAACACATTTACTTCTGCTCTAACCTTGCTCAAAATGGCTGATCTGAAATTTTCCTGGCATAAGAACAGTGAATTTCAGAGAAGCCACAGAAAAGTAGTCCTTCAGGGTTTGCTATTAAATGTTTCACTGTTGTCTTTTCCTTGCATGTAGGGTGCTAGTGGACTCTGCTTGGAGGAAATTCCCCCAAAAACCATCAGGAGCTATCTGGAGCTCACCTCTGTCCTTTCACTCCAGCTGCAAATAATTTGCACATTCTCAGAATATCCCTCTTTAGCCCTAGGTTTTCTCAGACATGAAGGAAATGAAAACCCAAGGTTTTCATGTTGCTGAGCTGAGCTGAGTCCCTTGTCACTGCCTCCTCTGCAGGCTCTGTCTCTGCTCATTTCACCCAGTGAAACAAAGTGGAGTTTTTCTCAGCAAGAGATGAAATCACACTACAGGAACCAGATTGAAATTCAAAGCAGGTAGTACACATAAACACAGCTTGATTCTTCACAAGCTTTTTTCCCTGGGTGATTTCAGTACCTAATGCCTATCATTTCTTTGATGTACCCTAGCTATGAAAGCAGGGTATCCAGAGCTTTTACAAAGATATCTCTCTAATTTATTCATTAAACTCAAAATATTTCCATGGCCACCTGCCCCTCTGTTCCTGTGGATCAAGTTTTGGAAACACATTAAAATGCCCATGGTTTGGGTACATGAAGTACCAGAATATGAGTTTGCCCCTTTGCTTCACAGTAATCACTTCTATAAAAGATTTTGAATAGCTTGAACCTGGGAATAATTTTGCAAAGCAGATCAATTAGACTGAATTGGATTTGCCAGCAGTGGGAGTTAAATTTTTAGTCAAATCTCTGTGTAGTGGAGCCTCACAGGCAGAAAATAACACAGGGGCAATGATTTATCCTATACTTTGTTTACTGGAGAGCAGAAATTTATCCTCTCTTGTTACTCTTTCAAACCTATTTGTCTTTTCATCTGCATAGAAATGAGTGCAAAAATAGAAGACAAAAAGAAAAAGAAATGCAGTTTTCAGGGGAGGGTTTGTCCCAGTCTGCCTTGTAGTGAAGCATTTGCTCTTTCCCAGGCCTCAGGATGTGCCAGGGAGATCCATTGGCAGTCACTGCAGTGCCATTCTGGGCAGCACACAGCTTGGAATAGGCCTCCTGAGCAACACAATCCTCTGCCATATCATGCAATCCCTCCCCAAAATGCACTTTCACCCATCTCATTCTTGAAGAATGTGGGTTGATTAAAGCATGTCTGTTCCAGGAACATTCTGACTGTGATCTTGCCATGACTGCCAGGTCCCCCTGCTCCAACCTGGTTGAAAACTTCTGATCTTCATCAGAACCCACCTCATTCTCACCAACAGGGAGTAGCCATCCCATGGAGGTCTCTACTCATAATTTTATAGGCAATATCTCCAGTGCAAATACAGAGAGGGTTAAAAATGCTGTGCTTTTTGTTTCATTTCAGGTTTCTGATTGTCTTGGGATGTTTGATCTTAGCAGTCCTGACAACTTTCAAGGAGTATGAAACAGTTTCTGGAGACTGGCTCCTCTTGCTGGTAAGTAAACTGTGGATGCTGCATCAGCCTGGTAATGTCCTGGAATTGAAATCAGCTCCATCAGCAGGGATGGAAACTTGCTCCCAGCTGTGCATGCAGTGAGGCTTCTGCTCCTGCTCCTGGAGCAGTGACTGTGCACTTACATATTGGAGAGTTCCCAGTCCATTGTCAACACCAACTGAGTAAAAAGTAAGTGAGGTTCCTGAGCAAAAATAAAATGAGAGCAAAGACCCTAGCCTGAGGCTTTTAAATCATGGCTTTTCAGCATTTGTCTAACAGTCCTTTCATCAGATTATCAGGAAATTTGCTATTGACCATGCCAGACCTAAGCACACTTTAAAAATATTTTTGGAGGAATCTTTCAACAGTTTTGATTCATTCTATAGTATTCTGTTAATCCTAGTATTTCTTTCCAGGGAGGTCATCAGAGTTGGACTCATGCTTTTGTCCAATAGCAGCATAACTGAAATTGCTGCAGGCAGTGCCTTTGAGAGAAAATGTATTCACAGCAAATACATTCCCGACTGCTTGTTCTATAAATGCTGAAATTCATGCTCAAGACTTTATTTCAGCAAGGCTTCCCATTTAGCAGAAGAATTAAAAAATAGAAAAAACCCTCCCTAATTATAAAATTGCAAATTCAACATTTTATGAAAATGACCCTAAAAATGAACTTCCTTTGCTCCCATAGCTATCATAAAATACAGGACACAGTGTCTCGCTTAACCTGGCCTTGTTTAAAGTATCCCCAGAGAAACTGCACACCAAAATTAGTTCCAGGATCTCAATTTCCATTTCCCCTTGTACCTCCAGAGACATATAGATTCAACCAAGAGCTAAATACCAAAAGGAATGAAAGGTGAATTCCCCTTGCATGTTCTTTCTCAAAAAGTGCCTGTTTGAAAAGACCTTCATCCCTCAGGGAATGGGAAACTTGCTTTTGGTCTCTGTTACCCTGCTTAGGCCCATCTTTCCCATTTGAAAAAGCCTGAGGTTATCTTTCCTTCTCCTGTGCTTGTTTTTATGTGGCTCTTAGCAGCTTTTAGAAGCTATGGGCAATGAGCATGGGGAAAAGTCCCCTTTTCCCTCTTGCCAGCAATTCACAGAGAGGAAAAGTAACCATGTGCCCCAGGCTGCCCTTGGCACCCCACCCTGCTGAGCACCTCAGAGAAGCTCTTTGCTCCCCATTCCCTCCCCATGCTTAGAAAGGATCTGGAGCAAGGTGGAAAATCCCATTCTTTTCATCCACCAGAAATTTAAGGGAACAATATATGCCTTAAATTTTTCTTACATATGTCTTTATCACTGCTTTAAACTTATGACCATATGAGTGTCCTGCATCCTGCCCTGTCTGGACAGATATGGCTGCATGAACGAGCTGCTGGTGGCTGACCCTGGGGGTGGGCACAGAGTGCCCTGGGGACTCTGCAGTCACCCCTCACATACATCTCCTCATTTTGTGTAGAGCAGGAGGTCTTTCTGTGAAGTAATTGTCCTTCCATTAAGACAGGGTAAGCATTTCACTTTTACCCACCAGCAGGGGCAAATCCTTCCTGCATGGTACTTAGCAGGCTGGAAAACTATGTCCCCTCTTTGCCTTGTCCTGTCATCAATCTTGACTCTCCTCCACTTTTTTCCTCTCTCTTACACATATCCTAACACCTGCACCTCATCTCTTTCCTTCAACTGTATCCTTGTGTCCAGAATTACTGCAAAATTATTGTGGGACTAACAATGTTGTTTGTGTCTTGATACAGGAAACTTTTGCCATTTTCATCTTTGGAGCAGAGTTTGCCTTAAGAATCTGGGCTGCTGGCTGTTGTTGTCGCTACAAAGGATGGAGGGGGAGACTCAAGTTTGCCAGGAAGCCTTTGTGCATGCTGGGTAGGCACATGCTCTCTACTGCTGTTTGCCTCATTAATGTCCCTTTTTCTTTTAAGGCAGTTTGGGGGATATCAAAAAACTGGTGATTGGCCCTGCAAAGAGCACTGAAATCAGATCTGCCCTTTATGCCAGGACCTGTGTCCTGCTTGGAGTAATTATTTGAAGTAGCCAGCAATAACTTGTAATTCAGAGACACTTGGCTACCTAGTCAGTGAGAAAAAAAAAAAAAGAATCCTTCTACTCTTCAAATACATTTTCCTTGTCCTTTGCCCCATTTCACTTTTCTTAAGCTCATCCTCAGGAAGACTCTCTCTGCCTTCAGTTTCAAATCCAACCCTATACCATCTTCCCCAGCTCCCTTTCATATTTGCATTTTGTTTTAAAATTGTATTGTTGGTCTGTATTTGCAAACAAGTATTTTTGTGATTTCACCCATGTTGTCTGTCAGGCTTGGAAGGCACTGCCTATAATTATCCACACAATTACTCATTATTCATGTTTGAATACCCTCCTGCAACTACTCATTTCATCCATAAACCAACCAGCCAACATTTAGGAGCTCACTCTGCCCTGAACACTGGTCATCCCCATTCATTCACTGATTTTAGGATACCCTCACTTGTTTCAACTCTCTTCAGGCCAAGCACTGTTTTTTTTCTTTATTTGTACAGCACACACTCTGGGAACCATGGTGCTGCATGAATACAAGCCTCTCTTTTTGTTTATCTCATGGATCTAAATGGTAGACAAAATTGTCACAAATTTTGTTTGTGCATCTGTGCTATCCTCAATTTAGTAATGCTCCTTTGGGTGCTACTGTTGTACAGATTCTTATATTCTAGTAGGTTTGTGAAGGCAGCAGATGTGAGCAAGTGGGATTGATTCTGTCTCATTCCTTCTCAGTAACAGTGTCATCTCACTCCTGAGTATGAATCTTCATTGATAGCTGGGTAAAAAACAGAAGATATCCTGGATTTATTAAAATCATCTCTCATTTGCCACTGGTACAAGTTTGTTTTGAGAATGATTGGAAGTGAATATATGTGAAATCCACTTTTTTGGCTGGAAAGAGAAAATTTTTTTATTCAATTAAAATAATTCAAATTCAATTCAAATACAATTCGAAGACTGAGTGCCCAGAGAATGTTTGAAGCTGTTTGGTACCACTTTCTTCTTGTATGTGTATATAGGATCAAAAAACAGGGTGAAACAAGGAAAAGAAAGGAAACAAAAAGAATTTATTCACATTTCAAACCTCTTCAGTCATCAGCAAATTGCTTCTGTGAGCACTTAAAGAAAAAAAGTAGTACTGACTTCACGATTTTAGTGGGAAAACTCAGCCAGAAAAATAAAATGGTACCATCAAACCTGAATTTCTCATCTGCTGACCTGCTCACTATGGTGTTCCAGTGGTACAGATGAAGTCAAGGCTGATTTTCTGTCAGCATTATGACACTGTTTCCATGCATCCCTAAGCAAGTTCAGTGTCTCAGGTCCAGTGCATTGATCTGTAAATAGATCCCAAGGCTTTCCAGGAGGTTCTGTGCCTGATACTGGTGTGGCAGCTGCAGATATCTGATTAATTGGCAGGAGAAGGCATTTTCAGGCAGCTCTGAAACTCGCCTAGGGAAATTTGCAGCGCAGCCAGATGGGATTAAGAAGCAGGTGATGGGGCCACTTTTGTTGGCAGGCTTTGTCCTTTTTGCCTTGCAGATATCTTTGTGCTGATTGCTTCAGTGCCAGTGGTTGCTGTTGGGAACCAGGGCAATGTTCTGGCAACGTCTCTCAGAAGCCTCCGCTTCCTTCAGATCCTCCGGATGCTGCGCATGGACCGGCGCGGCGGCACCTGGAAACTTTTAGGATCAGCTATTTGTGCACACAGCAAAGTGAGTGAGGAGCTTGCAGGCTCACATGGGGCTTGGGGAGGAAGATTAAAAGGAAAGAGAGGGGGTGCACAGGTACAGCAGTGCCTTGGGGTTATGTTTAGCAGTTCAAAATACAGCTTTGTTCTTTCAGCTTTATTCCCTTTTCCATTCTCTGAACCATTTTGCCCTTTGTTTTACCTTTCTATGCTCAATAGTGTGCTGGGAAATGAGACCATGTTCATTCCCACACATTACAACAAGAATTTTGCCTTTACTGTCAATGGAAGCAGGGACATCCCTTTTATAGTGAAGGATGCTGAAACCCTTGACAAAAAAGCCTGGGAAGCTGCAACATGTTTGTAGTGGCTTCTCAGACCTGTCCGATCAACAGATGGAGCAGGCCTCTGAAGGGATGGAAAGAGGCTGAGTAGCCTGAGAACTATGCACAGAAATGTGGTTTCCAAGGGAGCTACCAGTAAAATTTCTCTTTGGAAGCTTAGGTCAGACAATACAGAGATGTACATAGTGGGAACCCAGACAGGCAAAAATTCCTGAAGTCATCTTTGCTTGGTCTAACTTGATGCTGTAGTCAGACACACCCTGTCTTGCACCAGACAGCTACTTGTGTTCTTGGGTTTTCACAAAACATTATTACAAGTTTAAAACTATCTGCTTAAAAATCCTCTAGATGAGATTTCTCATCTGCACAGGATATAGAAAAACGACATATACTCCACTACATACTGCTTTTTCTTACCCATGAATGACATTCCTGACATCTTAGGGGGTTTTGAAAGCTAAAATGCCAGCTGGCACAGCATATTTAGACTTTGCTTCTGTGCACAGACTAATGGGGATGCCCACCATACTTCATTTCTTATGAACTTCTGCTTCTTCCTCATATAAACTTGCTACAAGACAGGTGGCAGATAAACACTTATGTCAAAAATGTTTCTCAGGAAACAGATCACGGAAGAAGTCTATGTTACAAAAACATTGTTTAGAAATTGTTAAAGGCTTCATGGTGTGGGATTTCATTCAAATATTACTTGTTTGGTTCCCCACCATGCACTTTTAGACCTCAGCTGGCTGGGGGAGATTAGAGTGGGTTGTGAGAACTTTGCTTTACTGGAGACAATGACAAAACAATTTTGCTAATTTCCTTCTGTGACTGCACACCAGAAATTAGCTAGAAAAGTTTTTCTCTTGTCTCAATATTCAATTCCAAAGTTCTCAGCTACAGCCTTTTTTTTTTCTTTCCCAATACAGTGAATTGAATTGGATGAATGACTAATATGAATGATAAAAATGAATTGGAATATTGATTTTTTTTACCTAGCTCTGAAGACCTAAAAAAAAAAAAATGTTTCTGCCTTGTTTCAGATATTGCTGGCATTCTGGGATTTTAACTTGGGTGGTTGCATGCCCCAACTCTGTGGGGCACTCCACTTTAGTCATTCTCTCTAAAACAGCAAAGTTTGGGGTTTGCTTGCACACAGAATATTTTCAAGGTCTGTTCTTATTGCATGAATTAATTTTGAAAACATCATTCGTGATGGGATCAGCTTTGTTATGGCTGAAGAGATGGAAATGCATCCTGCAGCCTTGGCTCTCTGGAGGTAGGGAAAGGGCAGAGCTGTTGGTTTGTTTGCCAAGACTGACCAGGCCCAGGGGCAGAAGGAAAGGAAAGAGTCAAGGTCAGGGTCAGAGCCCTGCAGCCCCCTGTGCCATGGGTGCAGCTAAGCCCTTAACCCAGCTTAATGCAGAGCCACAGCTGCAGATTCCTCCAGGCTGCTCCTAAGGAAAGTTCTGTGTAAGGGCCAATTCTTGTAAATCTCTGCATTGTTTCCCACTAAGTGCTGAGCTGGGCTGGTCATGGATGTGACCAAAGCCAGCAGTGACAGCTCTGCTGTAACCCTCTGTGCTTCTCTCTCCTCCTGATGTTTACTCTGCCACTGTGGATATTGAGGCTCTTTTCAGCCCCTCTGTGTTCATCTGTTTCTTTTGCAGGAACTCATCACTGCTTGGTACATTGGGTTCCTGACACTCATCTTATCCTCATTTCTTGTTTATCTGGTTGAAAAAGATGTTCCTGAAAAAGATGCTAATGGGGTGGAGATGAAAGAGGAGTTTGAAACCTATGCAGATGCACTGTGGTGGGGGCTGGTAAGTAACTCCAAAATTACATTATACACTTCTTTAAAACTTCATATCCAAGAAGAGATAAAGTTTTAGGGATTACAGTGCAAGTGCTGCTATATGTGGGTGAAAGGCACATTACCCAGGAACTTTACCAAAGTAAAGGTGCCTCTACAACCAATCAAGAGAACCTACAACCCTGTTGATTTTCAGGTTGATTTTCAGAAAATGGCCCTTAGGTGCTTAAACCGCCTTCAGAAATCAATCTATTCCTGGTGTCTGGGAAACCTCTTTTAGAGGAGCATCTCTTTGGGGGTAACTGCACTATGGGAGACAGAGCTCCCATGCCAGCAGTGTCCTGCAGTGAGAGCTGTGTTCCTCAGAAAGTGGCAGAGCCACAGCTGCCCGGTGGATGGGTCTGTTGGGCTGTCAAAGAGCACCAAACATTTGGGCCGTTGAGGAAGACATGCATGGCAGGTTTAGTTCTTATGGAGCCACTGACTGAAGATGTCTCTGGGTTCAAATGGAGGAAGTAAAAAATATTTCTGGCAAGGTTAACATAACAATTCTCATGTCTTACATGCATTCCCCAAAGATCAGGGAGTGCTATTGGTGGTAGGATGCTGAACAAGAGGGATTTTTTGATACATCTGTTCTTGTCTCTTCTGATTAAGAGAAGAGTACTGGTTTGCACAACTCTCATTCAATCACAGATACTCCTGCCATTCCAGAATTCATGTTTGTTACTGAAAAGGAAATCTATGTCATGCTGTGACTTAAATTCAGCAGCATATTTTTTATTCAATGAAGTTTACTCATAAATATAAAATACTCCCCTTCCCCCATTATTAGTCAAAAGGTACCAAGTGTTGCCTAGAACACCTGGATGTTTCCATGTCCTTTTATATCCAGGACATTTAGATGGAGTCTCAGGGGTGAGAAAACGTATGCAGTTGGAAATTAACAATTGTGCCAGAAAGGAGAATGCTTTCACAAAGATATCTTTGCTTTAAGAAAGACCAGGACTTCAGGTAGAGCTATTTCTGATAGGTTATTAAAGGTCTGCAAGCTGTTAAGTGGCAAATCCCATTCCTGACTGTACTGATGGTGGGCAGGAGATTTATGTGGACTTCACTTGCAGCAAATGCACCTGTAAGAGGCAGCTGCTTTGAGACTAAAGCCATTCTCCATGCAGTGCCTTGGGATTATGATGCCACCATAAAATTGGTTGACCCATCCTCAAGATCCTATTCCACCAATCTGTGCATGAGCACCCTCAGGGCTAAGTGAGTTACACAACTTTCATGGTGACATTTACACAGAGCTGTTGGCTTTGTTTTTCTTACCTTAAACCCTGGTTCTTGTGCCCACAGATCACACTTGCCACAATTGGATACGGAGACAAAACCCCTAAAACATGGGAGGGACGGCTGATTGCAGCCACCTTCTCTCTCATTGGAGTGTCCTTCTTTGCTCTTCCTGCAGTAAGTACCTTCCCCTCTGTTAGACACAGCCCAGCTCTGTGCACTTGCAAAAAGAAGGTGAAGTTAATAAAATCACCATTGGAACCAAATCCCCTTTAAAGAAGTACTCCAGATTCTTGAGTGGGTCTGTATCAGTAAATGGAACTTGTTTCTGCCCAACTTTGCACAGAGCCTATTGGGAATAATATGGCACCCCAATACTCCTCGAATCACTATGTGGGCATTGTCTGACAGTGCTAGTTAGCACAGCACAAAATTAAACCAGCAAGTGAACAATCTGGGAAATCACAAGGCAGTTCATGAGACTGTACACTGGCACATGGTAATTTACTGGTATTAGCATAACCCCTTTACTGGTATTAGCATAACCCCCACAAAACATATTTTCAAAGGATTTGGGGTCTACCATTGTAATAATTAGAATTTGACCCATCTTATCCAGCCCAAAGGATTTGGGGTCTACCATTGTAATAATTAGAATTTGACCCATCTTATCCAGCCCTTTATTTCCTTTGTCTGAAATGTCCTCAGATAAGAATGAAACAAAATCTGACTCAGATGGGCTGAATAGCAACAGAAACTGCCCCAATCCCAGATTTTAGGATATTTTTCCTCTGGATCCAGACTTGGAAAGAATTTCACAGTGGATGACAAGTCCTGCACTCTCAGACCAAAGCATGGTCTAGCACAACCATTGTATCATGCAAGCAGAGTTTCAGTGGAAATGGAAAGTAACACAGCAGCTGGACACCACCAGCTTGGAAAGGCAGTAGACATTCAAGAAGCCTCTTGAGGACCTTTAATAGTTTGGTGTGGCCTGTGGTCCTTGAGAGGATCATGACAACCTCCTGTCCCATGAGTGGAGCAGCAGGAACGGCATGGGAACTGCACAAAGACTCCATGTAGCCATCTCCATCTCCACCCACAGACCTGCATCCTCTCATCATTAATCCCTTTTGTTCTGAGTAAGAATACTCTAAAATCTTGCATCACTCTGTGCTTTCAGGGCATTTTGGGGTCAGGGCTGGCACTGAAGGTCCAGGAGCAGCATCGTCAGAAACATTTTGAGAAAAGAAGAAAGCCAGCAGCTGAGCTCATTCAGGTTTGCAGCCCTTTCCTCTGCCTTGAAAAAGTGCTGTGCATGAAGACTGCTGCATCATGTTAGCAAGGGCCACCACTCCTCCCTTGCCCAAATTCTCACTTCCTATTGCAGGAGGTGAGAATTTTTGTTTGTCAGTTTTTCACACTGAGCTGGATAATCCAAAGGCCTTTGCAGTTTTGCGGAATCTCTCAACTCCCAGAATATCTTTCAGAAGAACAGTGTCTTGCAAAGAAAGGATCTCATCTGCTAGCTTCTGTAAACCAACTGGCTTCTTCATCACTGCCACAAAATCACAGGAAACAAGCTGTTGAAAACACATTCTTTACAAAATACAATTTTTTTTTTCAGTTCCCTTGAGAAAATGCTTTTCTGTGCAAACAGTTATGTTGTTATTGATGCGAAAACAGCAATAGAAGTAACACAATATACAGTGACAATTGCAATCAAAGCAAATAACATAAATAGTATATGTGGGGTTTAAAAACTAAACCACACCCTGTATCCTCTGTTATGTCACTGGATGGTCCAGAAATTGAATGGGAAGAGAGCCCTTACCTCACTTGGACATCAGTTATGGCCTTTGTTATGAATTCAGGATATTAAGCTTAAAATCATTCGTCTGTGTGCTGACAAATTTGAAATTCTTTATTCTTACTAGGTGTGGAGCACATCCTGATAGCGGTTAAGTAAATGACAGCATTTTCACAGAGGGACAGAGAAAGTTTCTGTGATAACAAATGGAAGCATTGGTGCTCAGGATTGAACCAGTCCTCAGGAGAAATAGGCTGAATGGCATTAAAATTCATGGCTGTTCTCATTAAAAACATGCTTTAGCAAACAGAGGGGCTGCAGGCATGAATTGTGAATAGAATTTGATGAAACTTAATTTTAAATTAAAGCATCTCCACTGATCAGGTAGTTTATGCAGCTAGTGGGTTTCAGGTTGGGGAAATTTTTTGGGGGAAATTTTAATTTGAACTAAATACTGAAGTAGAAAATTGCTCAGCAAAATTTCTTCTGATGATACATTAGGGGGCAAACTGTCCTAAGTACTTCCAGAATTACTGGACAAGTCCAGCAGTGCTTGAAGCTCTTTTAGACATACCAGACAGGACAATAAAACCATTTTAGTCTAATGTAATGTCATGTTCTGATAATGGTTGCCTCCATGTTCTGTTTCCTTTAACAGCCCTCCAAGATCAAAATTCAGTGTCAAAAGCTTTTCCATATAGTCACACTCATTTGGTATGGCTGATTAGTAATTAATTTTCAGATAGTGACTCAGGTGCATTGTTATGTTCTTTGACAGAGTCTGGCTGCAGTCAGCTGGGAAATAACTTCACCTAACACTAATTATTTCCTCTCCCCTGTAATTTAGGCTGCCTGGAGATACTATGCTACTAACCCCAACAGGATTGATTTAGTTGCTACCTGGAGGTTTTATGAATCAATTGTATCATTTCCATTTTTCAGGTAAGTGCATTGTCCACCTCTCCATCATCATTTTCTGTGAAATATCAGCCAGGATAGGAAACACAGACTATATATATATATATATATATATATATATATATATATATATATATATATATATATATATATATATTTATATATATATATATATATCAGCGAGGCTTTTGTAGGTAACAGATGTTTTCCAGAAAACTCTTCTGAAGAAGAGGAATCTTTTCTGAGGTAGTAGTTTAATTTCAGTCACCACTTCTGAGTTCAGTGAAAGTATTCCATACATAAAGATATTCAGATAAAATAGATGCTTATATGTTTATGGCTATTAGATTGATCCTCACTCTCCTTGGTTATCCAACAGGCATCTTTCTCACATTAGGTCTTAACATTTTTAAATGTTTTTTAAAAAACCTGTATGGCCCTATGAAAAGCCAAGACTTTTAGCTACAGATTATCAGCTGATAACAATGGGCATTACATATCCAAGTTAGTGCTTTAAATGTTCCTCCTGCTCTTGCTGTTGTGCCTCATTCTGAAAAAGAAGTGCCCTTAAACTACTGTTCAACTCAGAGGTCTCCATGCATAGTTATGCTCACTGCCCTGATACTGAAGCTCCAGCTGTTGCTCAAGAATCCCTTGAAATGTTTCAGACTCCTGCTTTCACAAAGGGCAAATTACAAACACTCACTCTTTCTTTGTTTTAGTCACAATAGATTTTTAGAACCAATTTCACGTGTTTCAAAAAGGAAACCTCAACAACAACAACAACAAAAAGAACAAACAAACAAAAACAAAACAAACAAACACAAAAAAACCCTAGCACCAAAAGTGTTTGATTAAGGCTCAGTACATTTCTTTCCTTTTCTTTATCTCTTTCACTTTCTGTCTATTCCCACATTTTCCATTACAGAATAATTTCTTCAGGATTTCTTGACTGCAGGGTTTTCCAGAGAGTAATTCTCAGATTTATAAGGAGTCTGGACTCATTACTGTGACTTCAAGCTTGCTCATTTTGTGTAGGTTCTTCTGTGATCCAAATGCAATCTGAAATTTAATAGGTATTTTGCAAATAAGAACCTGGGAAGGAGGGCAGGAGAGATCACTTCTAACCAAAGACTGGATTGTCAGTCAAAGCAGCACAGACTGGTTTCAGGAATCTAAATCAATTATTTTTTTGCTTTATAGCTCATTGAAAATGTAGCTTTTATTCTGCTTTTTCTGTCAGTTATGGTCACAGAACAAAAGAGGTATAAGTTATTAGCAGTAGATTAGCAATTTATATTTTAAAAATATGCTGAATTTATGATATGATTTTTCTCTCCTTGCTTTCTTGTAATGCGTCCTTTCTTCTATAAAAGGAAAGAGCAATTGGATGGTACTGCCAGGTATGTAGCTGTCATTATTATGCATATATGTTTTAATACAGCTGTTGGAGGATGCAAGCTAAATAGTTCTATGTGGATTCATGAGCTGTTAACTAAATCATGCTACTAACACCACAGGTAATCATTAAAAATTATTAACAAGTCCATTTCTTAACTGCTTGCTTTTTCCCCTAGTTTAACAACACAGCTAAAATGCTAATTGTACAAAGGCAGTGTTGCTTGCTGATTGTCTGTAAACAGCTTTATTGTTTGTTATGACTAATCATGGTGTAGATTTCTCCTGATCCATGCTGCAGAGCCAGGGTTTAGCATCCAGGCTGTTCTGGGGGGAATTTAAGACTCTGGTTGCTGTTGCTCCACAGTCTTGCACAGAGCAATGTTGTGGTGTGAGCAAGTCACAGTTCACCCAGTGCAAAGATTTGTTGACAATAAATAAAGAGATGGGTGTCTAAGATGAACCAGCAGGATAGTCATTCTCTCTGGCAGCACTGTAGAAGCTGCATTAGGTTTGAGGGCCTGGTGTCACCCATGCTGAATAAAACAGGAAAGCTGCCCATCACAGCAGGGTATTCACAAGCAAAGAGAATGAAGGAATCCTCAAACCCAGCACTGGCCAGTCACTGAAGAGCAGCAGAGCAGCCACAGTCAGCCAACCTGCAAAGCCTCAAATGGAAATGATATCTTTATAACCTCTTCAGATATTAGAAGAGTTAAATGCACATACAATAATTGTAACTCAAAACTTAATGTTAAACCACTGTCAATGGGTCACCCACAATGTAATTCAATAACAATTAAAGGATAAATAGCTCTAGAGTGCTGAAGCTACTTCAGTTTGCTTCACCATTTACAGCACAGAGAAAGGGAACAAAATTGTAGCTACATTTCAAAACTGTGAGCCAGAGGTCAGGTCTGGAGTTCTAGTCCCTGACTTGATGAAAAATTATGCTTTTATTTTTGTTTTTTAAATATTCCATGTAACACATGAGAACTTCAATAAAGGAAGTTGACAAAAAAAAAAATATTACACTTGCTGTTCTCCTAGGAACTTTTGGGGTTCAAGCTTTATTTAGCAGAGAAGAAAAACGTATCTCAAGTTTTCTTACAATTCAGGCGAGTCCTCTAGTGACAAATTATTGGGAAAGGATGTCTTCCTCCTCTTACCACCAAAATAATGAGCTCATCTCAAAGATGACTGGGTGAGAGGCACCCAGTTTGTGAATCCCCATGGACCTCAAGTACTTTACAGCCATGACACGCCCCAGGCTAAGCAGTCATGGGCAAGCTCAGTTGCATTAATGCAGACGTTTGAAGACTTTAGCCATCTCCAGTCTTGGTAACAGCTGAATTTTGGTCTTTAATATGTAGGGAAGAACTTAGGAGCTGAAATCCTTTTGAGTAATTCCATAACTTGAGTCAAAATGTTCTGGCTGAGAAGCAGCAGCAGATTAAAATTAGGTAAGAGAATGCCTGCTGCAGTTCACTGTTGATCACAGCTCCTGCACCTGCAGCAGTTCTGAGTTACTGTAGCTTTCAGGCAGTAAAAATCATTTGATGTCAACACACTGAATTAAAAATGGAAAAGTATGACTCACAGCTCAAAATCTTTAAAGCTATAATCCCAAGGCCCCTCATTCTAGCTGGATATAATTTGGTTTTATTTTATTATATATATAATAACCCTCAGCAAAATCATCAGTACACCTGCATGGGAGCCTTCCTGCTAGCAGAAATGTGTTTATGGAATGAGGCATTCAATTAAAGGGATTGGAAACCCTCCAGGTAAACAGACATATGATGGCACTTGTGGGAACATCCACTGACTTCAGTAGAAATGTGATTGAGCCATAAAATCTGGTTGTTTTGACAGTACCACATCTCATCTCTTATAAAACTCTTATTTACAAACAAGATAATTAAAAAAAAATCTTCTATCTTCTTCCTTCTGCAGTGATTTGGTATAGAAAGTATTCCTTGTATTCCACTGCAGTTTGTGCTTTGACTGTATTGAAATAAATGAGCAATAAGGGAGCGTGGTCCTAATGGGGAGAACAGCCCATAAGTGTCTTCAGTCTCCAGGTTCTTCCATCAGTTTAGTACTTAAAGAGAAAGTAAATAAGTAGTAAGGCTGCTGTAGTAATAAACTGCATCATCTGATCCATGGTTGACAAAGGAGAGAGAAAAATTGGTCCAAAATTTTCACAGAAGCTTTTAATAAACAAAAAATGAGGCCTGGCTGTGTCAAAATTTGAGGACAGGAAGTGCTTTAAGTGGCAGAGTTTTTAGTGAGTAGAGTGAAAGCTCTTTAGGAACTCCACAGTTCTAGAGTTGAACTCCATGACAGATCCTTCTAGGATCTCCCCTGGACCAGGAGAGAAGCAGGAGCTGGCATGATAAAATCACAGACAGATACAGGAGCCTGTTCTTAGACCATTTGGGAAGAACACAGGGGTCACAAATGAATGGAAAAGTCCATTTCAGAAGTTGGATCCCAAGGCAAGGCTGCAGGGAAGGACTTTTCACAGTGGAAAATCAAGTAAATTTTGTCAGCAATCTAAGGCTTTACTGAAGCTCCCTTTAAAATAAAGCTGCGAAGATATGAGATATGATGAAGAGGACATTGGACTGGAGCTCGACTCTGTCCTGTAAACAGCAAAGGGAAGTGGTAGTTATGATGCTGCTCTTGAGAACAACATCTTCCCTATGTGTATTCCCCAACCCAGGAGGAACTGAGCTGTGCTCTCTGTGGCTCACTGTTGAGGAGTTTACTGACCTCGTGCCAGAGGTGCCACCAGCTTTTTTTTTTTCCCTTAATCAATGCCTAAACCTCATAGCCCCATGAAATCTCAGACAGCAACTGCTTTTCTCCCTGTATTGCAAAGCTTTTTAATCTGTTCAGCTCTCCAGAAGGGAGATTTATGAGGAAGAGTTGCTAATGCTCATTTCTGCAGGCATACAGCAAATGATTCAGCAAACATTTGGGAGCCTGACCTACATTTAGGATGGGCATTTGCTTGCCAGACATATTTTTGTTCTGAGCAACTTTTTATGTCTATGTTTCAGGAATTAATATTGGGGCCTCATTTTTCAGTGCTGTTGTTAGCAGCTGTTCCACTGACTTTGACCAGAGTTTAAACTTGCATGTACAGGCACCTTAGTGAAGAATTTTGAACTTCTAGGGTCTTACTCCTGATCCTCATTGTCCAGCTTTAGAACTTGACATCAGGAGAGTATGCTCATTCCTAGATCTATTATTATGTGATTGCAGAAAAGTCATTTATCCCTGTTTCCTTATCTCTACAAGACAAATAATATTTCTATGTCTTTGGAAAGTTGATTTGATTTTTTAGAGGAGTGGCATAATGAGTACCTGTCCTTCCTATTACAGGAGTATGAAAGAATTCATGAAATGTGGTACATTTCTGTATTGACAATGCTGACAACAAAATGAAAATAAAACCCTACTTTTCAAAGTGTAAAATTTCACTGTAAGCTATTCATCCTAATCCATCTGCCCAAAACAGGAAGGAAAAAAGGCCACTCTAATCTACACACTGCATTAACTACAAATGAAAGGCTCCCACTCTTTTCATAGAGCTTTTCATGGGTAATCATTAATGTCTCATCTTATTAACTTTTCTTCACTTTACAGTAATGTCATGATTAGTAGGGAGTCATTCTTTGGATCAAGCCTCACAAGAAAACTTAGGTATATATGTTCAAGTAACAGTTCAGCCTTATTCTTTTCATATTTCTTGCATGCCATTCTCTGCCTGCACTTTCTGTTTTTACTACAGTAGTTCACATAACCACCATCAAAAGTAAGGGACAATAAGACTGAAAATTTATTAAGCATAAAAAGAAAGTTGCATGACCTTGCAAATAGTTAATTGTTCTACTGTTCAGAAAACATGGGATATTATCCAAGCTCTCCAAAGAATCTGCTTAGAAACAGGTGTTTTTCTCTGTTTCTATCAAATGGAAATTAAACTAGCCTAGTCTGCAAAGAATTTTGAAATTTACTGTGAGAAAAATATACTGTAAGAGCTAAACACTGTTCCTTATGTGGTCCCAACCCTGCCAATACAATTCATGCAAGTTACTTTGAATTTGAGTTCAGTGGAACAACGTCTTTGCATGTGTATTTGCAGGTTCTGGTTCAGCAAATGGAAAACAAGTCGATGCTTTTGACCATCTGGATAAAGTTAGTGACATGCTTAAATATCTTGCTGAACTGTGACCTAAGACCTGGGGCAAGAACTTTACCTTCCTGCAAAGAGACATAGTCATAGCTTGTGGCACTTCAGGAATACAAAAGACACATCATTAGAAATAGTATTTTGACTGAATTGCAAAGTATTTCACTCTATCCCACACCTTGCTGTCATTCAACTTTATCTGGTTGTTCTCATTCCAGCTTCATTCCACAAACATGAAACCATCTACCTGCAACTTAGCTTTTCTAGCTGGAGCTCTTCAGCTTTTGGAGAGCAGCAAGTAAAGCACTCCATTTTTTTCATTTGATTATTGGCCCATGCACAATAGTCAAGAGACTTTGATTTAGCAGTTTGATTTGCTTTCTAGTGATTGATACATTATATGTTCACTTTGAAGCAAAAAGTGGGTCAGCAGCCATTTCTACCTACAATGGCTGCATCCATTGGTGAAAAATATCCATCCTGGTTTCACAATGAATTGGATTTGGATTATTCTTCCCATAGATTTATGTGACATTATTTATTTTCATCCATCTCCAATCCCTTTAGAAAGTGTGGATGAGAGAAGGAGCTAAGCAAAGGCCTTTAGTGTATGTAAAAGTGCTTTCTTTTTCTGAAGGGCATCAAAGTTGAGCTGAAGTTTTGATTTGTGCTCAGGTTTGTGGGCAGATAGTCTGGATGGTAGGTCATTCTGACATAGTCTGACATGGTCAGAGTCATAGCCACCCTTAAATACCAGTGAGGATGTACACCACCAAGAAGTGTGGAAATCTGTTGACTTAG